GCAGGAATTTTTATCCGCCTTCTTCCCTGCTTTCTCCCCAGCACCCCGTAGAGTGCTTGGTACCTCATAGGTGCCCAATAAATATCTGTTAACTGAATCCATAAATGAATGTTTGGATCAAGAGAAGTAGCAGTTTTATATACTATCCAGTATGCATTCTGTAGTGGTATTTTCCATTTTCCTAATTTGAATTAGTCCAGGAGAAGGGGAGGGATTTAGAAATAGTGTAATATAAGAGATGGTCCTAGAAGCACTAAATTTCCTGTCAGGGTTAAACAGAATGATGATTGACTGCTAAGTGCCAGGTAGGGTACTAAATGCTTTGCATATATTATCTCATTCACTCAGCACAGCAGCCGTGGCAGGGGAACACACGGGATAAGTGGTGGGAAATCAATTGCCCAAGGTCAGATGGCCGCAAGTGACGGCCAGAAGGCACACCCATGTTCTCTGAAGCCAGAGCCATGTTTCTATCCTAAAGAAACACTGTGACTATCCTTTTTGGAGCGATTCCTGCATCGGATGAGCTGGAGGAGGGCTCTTGTACTCGCCGATGCCGTGATGATCTGACTTCTCCCCCTGCACATTCCTCCCCCATTCACCCCCTTTCCCTTCTTCCCCTCCTTCTCCCACTGCCCTTCTTTCTCATAGAAAGCAGCAGCCCCCCTGGAAGCCAAGGCTTCTCTATCTGGGGCATGCTTCAGCCTTGGCAGGGCGAACAATGAGGGCATCTGTGGGTAGCAGGCAGCCTGTCAGTGGCTGAAGTGGGGAAAGAAAGGCTGCCAGCACTCCAGCCTCCGGCTGCCTCACACCCCTCAGGTCCATCTGTGTTCACCCCTCTCCCCTCCGGGCCTGGTGGGCGGCGGGGAAAGGGATTGAATGATTCCTTCTGTGATTCATTCTGGTCAGGAAAGGTTAACCTGTAAGTTTCACTGTATGTTCACAGATTGTTGTGTTGTACCCATTTAATATGGTGACTTAGGGAAAAACTTCCTTTCCTTTAAGAATAGCTGAATAGGCCAGTTTATTTCTAAGGAAGCTAGAAGAGCGTTGAGTCTTTTGACAGTGCCTAGGATGAGGTGGGGCAGGTGAGAATGCACGCTGGTGCCCCTGTGTCAGTGTCAGTCTGCTGTTCCTTGGGGGAAAAGTAAAGTGTAATTGTCTCATGGGAGTTGAGGAGAGGCAAAGGTGAAATGTAGCTTTGGGTAACCACATACCTGGGAAGATCCACCCAGGTGAGTCTTCTGTCAACTCTGAGCTTGGGTGGAAAAGCTTTGTTGTTCTGAGCAGTAATGCCAACCCATGGCCCCTTCTAGTAGAAGCTCGCCTGAGACACAGTCAAGGATCAAAGAAGATGCTTCCAAACCAAAGTACCTATAACTACATTCTGCATATTTTGACTTGAGAAGGAAGTAATGTAGGATATAATACATGGCTTTTCTTTTTCTTTTTTATATTAACTTCAGGTGTTGGAGGTCTGCAGTTGTCCTCCCAGGGATTTTGTCATATTGAATGAAGCTCACAGTGTTCTACAATATCTCCAAATCAGAGAAATGACACCTCCCCAGCAGTGAGCTGGCATCCCCCAAACCGTCTGATCCCTTTTCCCTTGAAGGGGAACAAAATCTCAAATGTAAATTCCTTTCAGATGGCATATAGATCCTCTACTGCTCTCTTAGGGAGGTAGATATGTTTTTGGTTCTGGTGCTCAGGTTACTTTTCCATTTCTCTGAATGGATACCCCAGAGAATGGCTGCTTCCTAAATGAGCTGAGAAACTCAAAGACTAATGGAGGTGAACTAGGATAGATGTCCCCGTCTCACATTTAATAAAAGGAGAGTGGAATTATGCAAGTATGCAGATAAGCTAATCATCTGACCTAATCAGCAATGCAGATTTTTAAAAGCCTTTCTAATTACTTCCTCTACTTGGCTAAAGGTATGGGTAAAAAGTGTTTCTGAGCATAATGATAGCAGATGTATTTCATAATATTGATTGAAAATATTGGAAAGAAATCCTCAATTATAATGTTCCTAAAAAGTACATAAAAAATATATCATATTTAACATACTTTCAACTTCCATTGAAATATAAACATAGCATAATTTAGATGATCAACGCTCACACCAGTTATTTGGAGTCTTTTGTATAGCTAGATTTAAACTTTCAGAGTCAGGTTGCTTATTGGTTAATTGCCTGTGCCTTCCTTGAGTTGTATTACTTAGCTATGAGAACTCTAGTTGTCTTGGACAGACTAGACCACCAGAATATTCCCTTTTCTTTAGCTATTTGTTAACATGGTATCTTGGCAAAGGAGTCTTAGTGCATCGTGTTTCAACAACTTTAAATGTTAAATTGTTGACATTTACAGGCATATGTAACACCACACAGTATGTGATTTGGAAGCCTAGATAGATCTGTTACTCATTTTCTTGGCTGAATTTGAGTAGTTATGAATGATTGTTAACTGAATCATTCTATAACAGATTCCCCCAAAAGAAACTATCTATGAATTCCTGGTTGAAATGCCTGTATCATCCCTGTGACCTGTGCTACATGAGTGCTGGTTGTTCACCTTTACCTTACTTTCCATGAGCTGTTCAGTATCTTTGCGGTACATTCTGTTTAATATAAGTTATCCTGAGCCAGTTTCTGTTGCCTGCTGCCAAGATAAATCTTAACTGATACGGTGCCTGCAGTGCCTTTGGAGTGACTGAATGCTTAAGTAGCTCTCTGTTATCAGATGGTTGGGGAATCGGTTCCTTCCACAAAAGTTTCTCCAACTTCCCTCTTCCTAGGAAAACTTCTCTAGAGATAAACAGAAAAGTCTTTTTGTCCCTCTATGTGTGGGACAAAGAAAATATTCAAAAACTCTTTAATAAGTGTCACTCCCTAATTCCTGGCATTTGAGGAAGTGAATGCTGTATTTGAGGAATTGGTGAAGGCTGAGTCACATGACCCTGAATTGTTTTATTTGAGGGCCAGAAAATATGGATAATCCAATATATGGTTTAATTTCTTTGCTAGTGACTGAAACTAGAGCATAGTTTATGTTGATTGAAAGTCATAAGATGTAATACCTTTCTGTATCCAGACTCTTAAATCTCTAGCTCAGAGTTCCTAAGCCTGGCACTCTTGACATTTTAGACTGGTTACTTCTTTGTCGTGGGGGACCGACTGTCCTGTGCATTGTTGGATGTCTAGGAGTATCATTGAAGATGCCAGTAACATCTCCTTCCCCTCAAGTTGTCACAAATTAGAATGTCTCCAGACATTGACAAATGTGTCCTTGGGGGGCAAATTTGCCCTTGTTTGAGGACCACTGGTTTAGGTTATTTCAGTTATTTTCTCTTTAAGTTAACTAACAATTATCAAGCACTTTCATTGTTCAGATTAGATTTTAGTATTTATATACTACAGGAATAATATGTGGCAGATAACAGTAGTGCACTTGGTTCGACAGATATAAGTTCCTTCCTAACCAAGGTTAGTTACAAACATGTTGAAACTCTCTAAGTATAGTTTTTCTATTCGTATGTAAATGTTAGGTAGAATTATAAAAAGTTGTCAGTTTGTGGGTAAAAAAAGGGTGACATACTAGCATTTCCCTGAAGTTCTACCTAATGCATGATACACAGTAAGAAAAAAAATTATTTGAGAAAAAAATGAAATTGTAAATGTACCCAGTTGTCATTGTAATCATGATTTGAAGTAGACTTACTTTTGTAAGTAGTGGTGGTTTTAGAAATGTTATGTGGGCAGGTTTGAGGAGCAGCGACCTGGCTGCAGCTGGCTGGTGTTGTACCATGTATTCTAGCAATGCAGTTGTGCAGCTAGTCCAGTACTTCTAATTTAGAAGGTGTGTGTATTTTGTGCTTGAGGTGAGAGCTGATAGAAATCCTATACAGTGGTTATTAAAGCTGTTCATAGAGAGAAGGAGGTGGAAATGAAATCTAATTTTTAAAAATATAATTTAAGGTATAAAATGTTGACTGTAATCCTCTCATTTGAAAGGATCTGATGGTCCTGGTCAACAGGGCTCAANACTTTTTTTTGTAAGTAGTGGTGGTTTTAGAAATGTTATGTGGGCAGGTTTGAGGAGCAGCGACCTGGCTGCAGCTGGCTGGTGTTGTACCATGTATTCTAGCAATGCAGTTGTGCAGCTAGTCCAGTACTTCTAATTTAGAAGGTGTGTGTATTTTGTGCTTGAGGTGAGAGCTGATAGAAATCCTATACAGTGGTTATTAAAGCTGTTCATAGAGAGAAGGAGGTGGAAATGAAATCTAATTTTTAAAAATATAATTTAAGGTATAAAATGTTGACTGTAATCCTCTCATTTGAAAGGATCTGATGGTCCTGGTCAACAGGGCTCAAATCATCGGACTGTTTCTTGCTTTGGCAAGTTCACAGTGAGAGGAAAATTACATCTGGAAATGCCCTTTGAAAAATGAAATCAGGATGGAGATGAAGAGCACATATAAACACATAATTAAAATGCTACTACTACTTCTGTCATTTTTCTACACTCAGATCGCAGTAATAAACTGCAAGATAATCAATCATTCACTGAAGTGTGAAAAATACCTAAAACTGTATTTGAGTCTTGCAAACCTTGTTCTTCTTTCAGCTTGTTATGAGGGCTGTAAACAAGGGCAGAACCAAGGAGAAGCCAGAGGGTCAAACACTAATTTAGGAGCCACCTAATCAGCTTCTGACCACTCAGGAGTAGATAATATCATGAATTTTATAGTTTCTATTCCATAATCATACCCTGAAACTATTGAGAGCTGATGGAGGTTTTGTAAATCAAATGAACAAGAAAAAAGAGTTAGTGAGTCTCAGTACAAAGAATACATTGCTTTCACTAATTCCTGGGATTTCTAAAGAATTCCATGTGTGTGATATACACAGAAGAGACCTTCCATGCTTGATGTTGGTCCAGGACAAGGTTAACTTTCTGCACACTAATTTTAATTCATATATATGCCTTTTTTCCCCAGCACAAATGGACCCCCGAGGCCTATCTCCCAGACAAAGTAAAAGTGACAGTGATGATGATGACCTGCCAAATGTGACCTTAGATAGCGTTAATGAAACTGGATCCACGGCCCTTTCCATAGCCAGAGCAGTTCAAGAGTAAGTATCACATTCTCAGGATGAAATAAGAATTGCCAAGGTGTTCAATGGATAATGGAAATAGCGGCATCTCCTGTTCCCCAGACATGTCATTCTAGCCCTGAACTGGCACACGTGTCCACATCTTTCCATTCAGCCTTATGTTCTCTGGAAGGAGATTAGGGGAGAGCCTGGAGTGGTTTACACAATTGAAAATATGTGTTTTGATTAGAAATAAGACTTCTGTGCATCTTTTCTGATACCTCCTGCCTCTTCTCCTTAACTCTGAAAAAAAATTGTTCATTTTGAATGTCACTATCCAATTATCATCATCATTGTTATTATTTATATGCAGCAGTCAAGAGAAATAAATATTGCAAGTGTTATTATTTTATTTTGATAGGAAAATACAGAATAGTTCTTTTGAAATTGTAGATTTGGAGGACAATCTGTTACCACTTTGAAAAATCAGAACCATATGTGATGTTAAAAAGGATCTTTTCTTTTTCCTTTTGTCCAGATAATAGGGTTAGATTTCAGCCCTTGTTTATTGAAAACAGCTGATTGTATATCATTGTCAGTTCTGGATTTAGAATTGAACCTGTGACTGATCCATCTATATTTTTTCCTCTAGAATAATTTTTAGTAACATAATCTTGAGGGTGAGGATTTAAATAGCACTGTTATCGCTGACACGTTAATTAACCGCTTACTCAGAATGATTTTAGTTACTTCCCATATATTAATTCATTTTTCCCCAAATATTAACTAAGTACCTATACTCTGTTCCACATATTAAGCCTTGAAATTAAAAGAAAAATTGGTCTAACATTTTAGAAATTAAAATATATATGTGTGTGTGTATAAAATGAGTAGTATATCTATGTAATACGTATGACTTATTTACATTATACATGTGTGTGTATACACACAAATATATATGATATATTAGAGGAAACCAAGATATAGTGGATCTAAAATGAATTTAGAGTCAAACTTGGATTCAGATTCACATTCAAGCTCTTAATAACTGTGTGACTTTTGGCAAGTTATTTAACCCCTCAAGAGACGTTTCTTCATCTGTAGCGAGAACGTCAGAACACTTAGCTTACAGGAGGACTGTGCAAGGGTAGGATACAGTCACCAGGCATGCGGAGCACATCACGGCGTTTGAGCACAGGGGCTTGGCTGAATGGTAGGAGTAGTAGTATAATTCGAGGTGGCAGTAATAGTAGTAGTGTGTAGTATACGACAGCCAGGAAATACGAATGTCACAAGTACCATTATTCTAATTGTACAAATGAAGACACTGAGGATCAGAGAATTTAAATCCAAAGTCACATAATAAGTGGTAACAGGACAAAGGTTTGGACTTCTGCCTCCAAAAACCGATTTTTTCTAGAAGTTCTTATCATGTCTGTTTGTGTAATAGTCTTCCACTTGAACAATTTATAAAAACCTTTTTTCAAATTTGTTCAAATAACTAGTTGTAGTAACCTAGTGTCTCCAAAGCAAGGGTCAACTTGAATCAGGGTAGGCATTGCACAGAGGGGTTAGTGAAGTTGTATGTAAAGTGGTGGCAAGACAGGTCACCTCAGCACTAGGCCAGTGATCGGCACGGCAGTCACGGATTTGTGTGAGCGAAATCTTACGTCAAAGATCCCATGTTCTCGTCTGTACATTAGACCAGATGACGACAAGTTTCAGTTCTGAGATGGATAACAAATTTCATAGACAATTTAATCACACCATTGTCCTGCACCATATATGTAGTCTGTGTGTGTGTGCTTATAGATATGTGTGTGTTTCTTTTCATTCAAACTTTCAAGTTTAGAACTGTGATTACTAAAATCTAAATTATGCTTATTCCTTTGGGGCTTAAGTAGCAAGTAATGGTATTAACTTCTTAAATATAGTCATTTCTGTGCTTCTAATATTATGTGTTTATAATATACTATATGTTGATGTGAAACTTTTTTTAGAGTTTTTCAGTGTTCCATCATTTATTTACTTTTTATTTTTTATTGAGCTTATTGGGGTGATAATGTGAAACTTTTAATAACCTTAGAAACTGGAACTTCATTTTCAACATAACCTCTTTGATTTGCTCTGAAAACATTTTCAAGCCACAGTATTTAGTATAACTGTGCCTATGCTTGGCTTTATTATTGCAACAAAAGTTGCCTGTGTACCTAGGGAAATGCCAGATTCATTATTCATGTAAGTGTTTTCATTAAACGATTAGTAAAGAATACTGAGCTGTCACCTGGGAAGCCCTAGAATGCCAGGACCCATCAATAGTTAATTAACCATCACTCAAGACTAAGTATGTGTGTGTCAACACTGGGAAGTTCAGAGATACAATCAGATGAAACAAAAAGAATGTTTTCAGAGACCTTTTCAATATAGGTGTATTTCAAAACTTACAATAATATATTGAGAAAAATTTTGTTCTGGGACAAATAAATCTATAATCCTTCCTCGAGAATTAAAAAGTAAAAACTGTGCCGAGGCTCACCCCAAGCTAACTTTCAATGTATACCACTGTGGCATGCCATTCTGATCTTCTATTCTTTAATGCACATCTCTGTTTCATTATCAATTTCTCTTTTCCTCTTTTTCTGTTTGCCATTGAATCCTGATAACTTCTGTGAACTCATAAGCTGTCAAATAAACAAAACATTCTAGTATACTATGCTCAATAAATTAATGCAGTAAATAATAAAAGAATAAAATAACAGCTTGGCATGGTCAAGATGAGAGGATTTCTAAAGACTTCTTTGGATCTATATCCTGCCCTTGCAGAACTTTGCTGAAAGAGTTAGGTTGAGAAGAATGTTTGCAGGTAGAGAGGTGATGAAATCAGAGATTTATGTACAGTAGTGGGAGGACATTTTAAAAGATTTGGGCAACCAGTTCACTTTTGTCTTTCCAATTAAAGACAAAAGGAGCCAAGGTTTAGGAGGGGTTCAAAGGCTGGCCTCTTATTTCATTGGCCACCAGGGGAGTGTCAAGGAAGAGAAGGGGGAAGGTAAGAAATAAGGAATTTAAGGAAGATTGACACTGGAGAGGGATGAAACTGCCTTGTCCTAGGCCAGCCCTTAAAACCAGGTGCTAACCCACAGGGTAAATACCTCCAACTGGGGCTCTTCTTTCCCGTTCAGGTTCATAGTCTTGCCTCATGCAATAATCATTATAGTTTGAATTTTTAATTTGGTACTTTAATGACATTGTTATATTTACGAAGCATAAAAGTTAATATGCTAATAAACATTTTCTAAATGTCTAATATTATACATTTTATTGGTTTTTTAAATGAACTTTTAATAAAGCCTCGGTTTAAGAAATATTATCTTTGATTTGAAATGCAGGAGTTGTTAGTCAAAATTGTATCCCTTGCCCCCCCC